GATATATATAATATAGTAAATAAAAGAAATATATAAGATATATGACATAGAAGACATATATGACATTTTAGTCACCGCAGTAATATTCGTTATCTGAGTCATCCATGTCATTTTCGTGTAACACTAGTAAATGAAATATATTATAATGAATTCAATGTATTTTTTTTTAAAAATATTTATAAAAATAGTAAAAATATGAAACATTATTATTTTTAAGATTAAGATTAATTTTAATATACAAATATTTAATTTTGATAAGTGATTTTTTTTGTTTTGATTTATAATACTTCAAAAGCTACTTATATCTTTATATGCATTATCAAACTAATAAAAACCCAATATTAGTAATAATGTAATAAAACTTTTGATATTAAAAGCATATATAATTATATAGCAATTTTAAATGTCAAAAATACTTTAAATATTTTCATCTAAAATCCTACTAAAATTATTCATCTGAAAATTGTAAAATAAAGATTATAAAACAAGATGATATAAAGGATAAATTTTATAAAGGAAAGATTTTATTTTAATATAATAAATAATATTTATAAAAGCAGCATTAAAACAAAATCAAGCAAAAAATTTATAATAATGAATTTAATAGCAAAACTTAAAAATTAGAACAATTTGTGATAAATGCTGAAAAAAGGGATCAAATTGCAAAAAAAACTTTTTTTAAATTAATTAAAGTTCTGAATCAAATAGTCACTTTTTTCAACATAAAGATTGCAAATATTTAATTTGTAACCTTTTGTGCAATTAATAATTGCTCGTTAGAAATATTAAATTTTTACCAATGCCATTAGTAAAAATAAATCTTCATAATCACGTGATTTATGATTTCTAAAAAGAGGAAAAGGATTAAAATCTGGCGATCGAAATTTTTTAAAGGAAGGAGTTGCATACGAAGTATTAATGAATGAGGGGAATTCAATTTCACAGAACAGGTCATGCGCAGCATTCATATTTCTTTATTAGATTTTTCGGAAAGAAATTTTCTGCAAAGGATATTGAAGTTTTAAGTTTTCTTTTGAAACACGTAATATTTTTCTTGTCTTTGGATAACATTATTTTCTGAGGCATTGAAGGCCTGACCGTTGTTAAAAGGTTTATTTGTTTGGTTAACAGGTGTATTATTCTCTGGATTTGCTTTTGGCGTTAGAAGAGGAAGAAGAAGAAGATGGGTCAACAATATCCATAGTTTCTTGAGTTTTTTTTTCAATTAAACTGGTTAAAGGTGCTGGTTCAACAGTTGTTTCTTCATTTGGTGGAGTTTTTGGATATTTTGTCTATTTTGTGGTGGGGTTTTTTCATTATCTGGAGATGCGAGATGGCCTTTATTATTTTTGTTCTGCAAAATTTTTCGTGAACGCATGGTTTAGCAGAAAGAGTTCTCTCCTCTAATAATTACTTCAAAATTTTTTGCTTCGAATTTGTGAATACACCATTATTATTGTTTTGTCATATTCGCAAAAAAATTGTAATTACAAGCCAATCATAATTATATTGATCAAAATGATCGATAACCAATTAAAAACAATTTCTCTCATGCTCTCATTAAAAAGTTAAATTATTAAATGGGGCAAAAATCAGCAGTGATAACACAAAACCTTGCATGGTTTGGTAAATTTCCTTTTCTTTCGCTATTTACGATCCAAGTAGAATTCATTAAGTTATTATTGTAAAGAACATCTTAACTATTATTTCTATAAAGGTTACAATGCATTATATTATTGCATTAATAGGATCCGTATCAGATGTTGGAAACGACATATTGTTCCAAGGCTGCCCAAGCTATGTATACATGGTCACACATTCACCTTCGCCTGCATCTGATCCATAAAGAACATAGTATCAAATCAGATAATTGTTTGCAGAGGGATACACAAGCATATCTTGTGCATTCTGTAATCTATTAAAGATGCCCGCAAAATTGTCTTTCAAAGTCATTCCCTTACAGTACCTAATTAATGTATGCAAATATTGCTGATATTCGACCATTTGATTGATCGGAAGATGTGATAAGACAAACGATATACTTAAATAAATATCAATAATAAAAAATAACCTAGCATTTACACTTATTATGTAATGATTTTTTTTAATTAAATTTTAAATTCAGTTTCTTTTTTTTTAAAAAAAAAAGAAAAAAAAAAAATTCGAGAAAATATTTATGGATCAAACTACCACCTATACTGCCAAAGTGTTCTCATCTGTTTAATAATCTTGATAATAATTCGTGAAATCCATTTGATTTAACTTCTTCACTATATTCATTCCATAATTCATATAATGATATTATTTCTTGTACAATATCGATTATCTAAATAAAACATAAATTAAATTAAATATTAAGGCGAAAGTTTAAATTCTTATATATATAAATCCCTAATATATTCTTTACCTGTTCCGAATCAACATTTAATTGAGCGAACCATAATCTAATATCTTTTACTTTTGGAGTTTCATTAACGTTACCAGCATTATTACTAGCACCCCTTCTTGCACCTCTTGTGGTTACTCCACCAGCAGCACCGCTATTACTCGCATTACTTGTAGTCGAAGTAAGCGAATAGTCACCATACTGAGCCCCCCCTTTAAGTGCTATTTGTAAATAAAGAGCAGCAGCAGCAATAACATGTGGCGGATATAACAGACACAAATCAATTCGATAAGAATCATTAATAATATACCAAGCCCATTGTACATCTTCATTTTTTGTACCTAGATCCTGTGCCAAAGTCATTAATGAGCGATATGGATGAAATACTATCATATTAAAATCTAATTCTTCTAATAAATAAAATTCCATTTCTGCTACTTTTTGATTATCATATGGAAAACTTCCCCCTTTATCTATATATGTGTGTATATATGCATGCATGCATGTATATGTATATATGTATGTATAAAAGGAAGGAAGAGTAGTAAGTTCGTCGAAATTGTCAAAGATGTTGAAGTTGTTAAATTAACTTACCATTAATGATCCCTTTCATCTCTGCGATAACAGTTTTTATATGATGTGGCGATTCTTCAATTTTACATGCTAAATACATACATGTCGCGGCGACTAAATTAGGTTCGGTATTTCTAAAACTATTTCTATTGAGCATAAAATTGAAATTTAGACATGATTTCAAAGGGGGAAAACTTTTTTTTTCAATGAAAAAATTTTACTTTGTATAAAATCGTTTGAAGTAAGTAATAGCAGTTGCAATAATTACTTGTCGTACTGAAAGTTTTCTTCCAAGTTCAGTTATTACTATTATGACATTAGAAGTTTAACAAAGTTAAGATTATATTCTATAGTAGTGTGAAAAGTAAATTAGTTTTTCACTTACTTTGGGCGAACCAAATGTTAACTTTGATTAACTCTTGTTCCTTCACGTATTGCAAATCTACTTTTCTACATTCAGCGAGAGCTTGACGACTAAGTAACCAGTGCATTCTAATTAAGGGTAAGAAAAAACGTCTTAGAAGAAATGAGTAACGTAAATTCATAACCTAGTAAGTTGATATATTACCCATGTGTTGAAGTCCAAAAATTTGCGGCCATCTTGACGAGTATAAAGGTAAGGTTTACAAAAGAAAAAGAAAAATAAAAATAATGAATTCATAACTGTAAAAGTTGAGCCACAAGGTTGGTTTAAAGTTTCCTAGATAACTAAACGATCTACAAAATACATTTTAATAAAACAAATCTTTTTTTTTTTTTGATGCATGCACTTACCAAAAACTGAAAAATTTCCCGATTTAAAGTTGAGATCGTGATTTTACTTTTTTTTAAAAAAAAAAAAAAAAAAAAAAATGTGGAATTATCGTTGCAAATTAATTTTAGGTTCTCGTTTTAGACATAAATCAAAATGCATGACCCTATTTAAGCAAATTTATAAACGAAATTTATATGCTACACGTTCAAACATTGATTATAATATACCAGTATGCGTTAGGTTTGCGCCCAGTCCAACAGGATATTTACATCTTGGAGGTTTAAGAACTGCATTATTTAATTATTTATTAGCACGAAAAACTGGTGGAAAATTTTTTTTAAGAATAGAAGATACGGATAGGGTAAAAAAAATTTTTTTTTTATCTAAAGAATGGGAATATAATAAAAAAAGAGAGATGATGATTATATGATAATGTATTATTTAGACGCGATTTGTGGCTGATTCTGTTGATAACTTGCTTTCGGTTTTATCATGGGCGGGTTTATCATTTGATGAACTTGATGAAGGTTGCGTTAGCATAAAATTTTCGTTAAATTTATGATATATAGTTATAAACTAATATTATTATTATTAAAGGTTCAGGAAAGAATGAATCTTCTCGCCTATTTTATCAGGTTACATTTTTTAATTTCAATGATGTCAACTGAATCCAAATGAAGCATTGATTAAAAAAATTATTTATTTATAGTCGGAACGAACAAATATTTACAAGTCTCACGTAGATAAATTGATTAATGTATGGATTTTATATTTGAAAATTTACCCAATCTCAATTTTTCATGAAATTCAAATCATTATGAAATTTAAAAAAATCTCTGGTTAGGCTGGAAACGCTTATAGATGTTTTTGTACTTTAGAAAGGTTACAAGAAATACGGAATAAAGCTCAAAGGTCTGGAAAAGGAGTTGTTTATGACAGACATTGTTTACATTTAAGTCAAAAAGAAATCGAACAAAAATTAGCACAAGGAATCCCTTTCACAATTCGTTTAAAGGTACTGATATATATATATTTATTTATATATTTATTGGACTTATCTTTACAGTGATGAAATGTTTTTTGATAGACTCCTGACGGTGCTGTAATCATAAATGATCTGGTACATGGAAACGTGGAATTTAATGATAAACATATTGATGATGCTATTTTATTAAAAAGCGATGGACACCCAACGTATCATTTAGCTAACGTAATAGATGATCATTTAATGGGAATAACCCACGTCTTGCGTGGGGAGGTATGAAATCTTATTTATTTTTTATCAAGATAAAAAATTTTTTTTGAGAAATCAAATTAATTTGAATTTTAATTAGGAATGGTTATCTTCTACTCCAAAACATATAATACTTTATAAATTATTCGGATGGGAATTACCAAATTTTGTTCATTTACCACTGTTATTAAACATGGATAAATCAAAATTATCAAAAAGATCAGGAGATATTAAAGTTGAGGATTTTGCTAATAAAGGTTATTTACCTGAGGCTCTTACAAATTTTGTTGCATTATTAGGATGGAGCCCTGTTAATTCAAAGAATGACGTATTCACGATGGAAGAATTAATATCAGAGGTACCTTTTAATTTACAAATTCTGATCATCTTGTTATATATATATGTATACATCCTTTATTTATTTTTGGGAGGAAAAAAGTTTACTTTAGAACATCTTGGACATTCTGGGACTATAGTAATGCGTGAAAAACTTGATTGGTTAAACAAGCAACATATATTACGTAAAACTGAATCTGAAGATGGATTAAAAGATCTTATAAATTTATTAAAACCTTCTGTCAATGAAAGATTTGCTGAAAGGTATATATGAAAAAAATTCGATGTTAATTTCTACGGTCAACTTTTTTTTTTAATATAAATATTGTTTATATTAAGTTTGCAATCGACAAAAGATAAATATAGGTTGGAAGATGAATACCTTTCAAAAGTTATAACGTTAATGAAGGTAAGTTCAATGCAATATTTTGATTATGACATTCTTATGTTACCATTTACAAACTTTTTTTAATTAAACATAGGATCGAATTCGAAATATTAAAGAAATACCAGAATTATGTGAATATTTTTTTATTGAACCAAATTATTATTTAAAAGATTCACAGTCCTTAAGAAAAAAAATCCCCGATGATATTTTAAAAATCATTTCCAACCTAAGTTTAACCAAATTAAATGAGCTTAAAGATGATGAATCAGAATTCCGGGTTGATAAAATTAAGTCAATGATACATAATATTGCTACTCAAACTGGTTATAAACAAAACCTAATCATGATGACTTTAAGATATATTATAACCGGAATTAAGGTATATATAAAAATATATAATCTTTTTTTATGTCTGTGTATTAATTATATGAATTATTATTGTTATCAATATCATGATTTTCTTAATATGTGTATTTGCATTATTAGGTTGGTGCTGGTGTGGCAGAAACCATGAAAACAATAGGAAAAGAAGCTTGCTTAAAACGTATTAATAAAATATTAATTAACATCACTTAATAATTAAAATAAAAGTAATAACAATAATATTAATATTAAATTTTTAAATACTGATTGATTATATTAATTGATAATGATATGTTATGTTATGATATGATAATGATACTCTAAATAAATGAAATGTTGTTATGTAATGTAAAATCATAAATTATATATAAGAAACAATAAAATAAAATTTTCTGAGATTTGACAGAAGTGGCAAACCCTTTTTTTTTGTTCTAATCTACATGCGCTAACTCTCAAAAAAATCAAAAAAAAAATGAGAGAATGATAAATAACCTTGCAGAATAAAATGCAAAGTCCTTTATTTTGTTTTGGCGTTTTGACTTAACCAATTTAATCCTTCAAATAAACCCTCCCCAGTGGTAGCGCAAGAAGGATGAACGTACCAAGAACGCTCTTTCATACGATGTAAACCAAGTTTTTCTGTTACCTCCGCGGGAGACATTGCTATTAAGGTTAAAGGATTGGCTATTAAATAAGATTATCTTTGGAAAAATGAAACAAATTTACGCACCTCCCGGTAAATCTTGCTTATTTGCAAATACTAATAGTAAACAATCCTTCATTTCACGATCTGAAAGAATTCTATGTAACTCTTGTCGAGCTTCGTCTATTCGATCTCTATCTTGAGAGTCAATTACAAATATGAGTCCTTGCGTTCCAGTATAATAATGACGCCACAGTGGACGAATTTTATCTTGACCGCCAACATCCTATAAAAAAATTAAACAAAGTTGATTATATTTATGTCGTCACACACATTCTGCAAAAAAAAATAATATTGACTTGGATCAATGTAATCATTATGTATGTCTAAATATAGGAGATTATATGTATACTAACCCAAACGTTAAATTTGACATTCTTGAATGTCACTGTTTCTACATTGAAACCAACTGTAGGAATCGTTGTTACAGATTGATTAAGCTTTAATTTATATAGAATCGCTATTGAATTAAAATGTAAAGAGTCAAAGATAATGAAATGTCGAAAACATGCAAGGTTCATTTACTTGTAAACCTTGCAAAATTACTTGCTATTAAAAATGAAACTGTATGAAATGATAACCATTATTGTTAAAAAAAGGATACTTGTTTTACCAGCTGCATCAAGACCAAGCATCAAGATGCGCATTTCTTTATTACCAAAGATCCTCGCCAATGCTTTTGAAACTGACGCACCCATTGTGTATTTTTTTTGTAAGGAATTAAAAGTTGGTTTAAATTGAAAATAGTCGAATTACTTTTAGAATGAAGGGAAGGGAAGGGTTTCCGCGATAAAGTAAAGTTGTCAAAGAAAAAAGATGGAAAATAGCTGGTTTATGCGCGGAAGTCTTCACTGTCAACAAGGTACCGGTGGTGATTAAATAGTGGTATTCAAGAATGAATCACAGGTAAGAAGAGGCACCAGAGATGCTGAGGGTTAGTTTGAAGTTGTTATTAGAAGAAATACCGTAGTAGCCTTTAACTTTTGTATTGAAGGGAAGGTTAAATTTTATTCAAACATCGAAACCTACACGAATTTCTATTGGCATTCTATTAGCATGTGTTGTGGCGCAGAATGTTAATGAATATCCTTTTCTATTCCTTTCTATTCCTCATGGGATCAATCCGGTTCTCAATAATATATTAACTTATTACTTTATTTAATCTTATTTTATTCTATTTTACATAGTATATTACAAGAAAGGGTCAAGTTTTTAAATCTTAAAATCTTATAGATTTTGCGATCATTCTGAATTCAATTCAGACGATGTTCCGTTTTCGCTTGCAATTATTACAGCAATACACCTTCTAACATTTCATATACATGTCATTAATCTTCTATTCCTTTTGTCAAGGACTTGTCTCATGATGAAAGAGCACATCTTATAAATTAAGTATTATTATAATTTTTTTTTTGAAATTTCTTTTCTATTCATTAAATAGTAACATAAATATTAATATATATTAAATTTTAGCTTAGCTTTTATCAAAAAAAATTAATACATTAAAATAAATTTACTAATTAATAAATTTTTGTTTTTAAATCTTAAAAAATATTATTCCTTAAATTGTCTAACAGGCAAATTTGCTTGCAAAATTAAAAAAAAAATAAAAAAAATATACATTAATTTCTTTATAAAATGTTAAATATTAATTTTAGTATATCATTATTATATAAAAAATCTAGTTTATATATCTTTTATTAACTTTATTAACAAAGATTTTATTTTAAAATTAAGTTTCAAAATTTTTATTATAATAACTTTTTTTAAAAAATTTATATTTTTGTATATTAAATGAATCATTTTATCATTAATTAAAATTATAAAATTTCTTAATAAATTATAAAAATTATAATAATAAACATTTTTTTTTTATATAATATTTATATGATTAATATAGATATTTTACAATAAAAGTATAAAATTCTAAAAAAATTAAAATTTTATTTTATAAATTATATAGTTTGAGATTTAATATTATTCAAAAAAATTTTTTTTTAGGATTTTACATTTTTCTATTACAAAGATAGTCGCAAGTGATTTCATGACATAATTATATCATGAAGTCACCTGCGACTTGCATTAGGTTATGAAGGTAACTTCATAGTCTGCTGGTATCTTCATAATATGTTGGTAACTTCATAGTCTACCGGTATCTTCATAACATACCAGTATCTTCATAACATGTCAGTATCTTCATAACATGCTGGTATCTTCATATCCTATCAGTAACTTCATAATATAATGGTGATATCATAATCTAATTATATGATCTGATGATAACATCATAACCTATTGTTTATAATCTCATAGTAACTTTATACCTACCTATGGGTAGCTTCTTTGCATTTATAGCATTGTTTCAATCATTTCCTGTATAATATGGTGATGATTTCATAGTCTAATGGTGGCTGGGAATGCTTTAATTTAATGGTGATGTTATGATCTAATGATGACTGCTTTCTTCTTGTTCCTAATTTGTTTACATAATAAATTCTACATTGTTAGGTTTGGCTTTCTATTCTTGTTTGAATGTCTGGTTCCATGTTGAGGATACTGGCCTCCTGCACCTGACTGAATGCTAGTTCTATATTGAGAATTTACGCATATTTGGTTGCCTCTTAAAATACTGAAATGGTGTAAAAAAAGAGACAACGGGTGGCACAATAAATTTGTGATTAATTTCAACTGATATTATGCCATAATTTTGGCTGATCTTTTAGGCATGTGATTTGAGGATCCAGCTTGATGCTATAGCAGTGTCCTGATAGTATCCTGGAACTGTCATGAAGCTGGTGAGGAACTGGCAGGAAGCTAGAGTGGTTTTATTAATTTGCCAGTTTCAGACCACTTATATTACCAGCTTGGATGTCAAGTTCTTATGCCCAAAGATCTGGTTGAAATTGTGGAATAGTGTTGGTCGAAATTAAGCAAAAATAGACTGCGCATTACTGCACTATGGTCACGTGATACTATTTGGTGCCAGAACACCCTCCGCCATATAGTATTACTAATTTTGGTTGGTATTATAATGAATTTAACTCTGGCTGATTTTTATATAATATAATTCTGCAAAAGCCTTCATCTATCGGCATATATGCTCGAGTACATACTAGTAATAGGGTATTCTTCTGCCAATATTTTATATAATGATTACGCAGAAGAATACCCTAAATATCACCTACTAAGAATCAATTTATCCGCAATTCTTTTACCTTCTTGCTATATGCCCCTTTTTGTATCCATTGAAAAACTGTCAGGAGACACATACATTCGAGTACATACCTAAGAAAGTGTAGTCTTCTTCCAATATTTTATATAAAGAATTCTGAAGAAGACTTCATTTTTAGATGTATAGTTATTTGACTACTAGGATGCCAGCTGATTTTGGGCACACGATTCTTCTGATTCCATACCATCGAGATGTAGCCTTTATGTCACACCTGGATACATACTAGTGATAGGGTATTCTTCTGCCAATATTTTATATAATGATTACACAGAAGAATACCCTACCTGACTATATACTAATGTTAGGGTATTCTTCTGTCAATATTTTATATAATGATTATGCAGAAGAATACCCTAAATGCTACCTATTAAGAATGTGTTTTTTCACGATTTGCTTATCAACTTGCTATGTATTTTTTACATCTATCAAAAAAAATAAATTAAACATTTCTGAATTTTATAGAGATAGTATAGCTTTTCGAACTAATATCATGCATGCACTAACTAATTTTGACTAAACTGATCGCTCTGGAACTGGTCTTCTCACCCGCTATGACAGCTCTAGCACTGATGAATATTTAAGTAACTCAAGCAGTTATACTAATAATAGATCTGACTTAAGGTCAGATGATTATAATGACTATGAGTCTAATTATGAGTCGATAATGAAGGAGCTCCCTGCGCTTCAACCAGCACTACCGAGGCTGTAAAAGAACGAAAGGTTAATGTGACATATACTTTAAGGCAAGAAAATTTCAATGATAAATTTTCCTCTAAGGATTTGCTAAAAGCCATTCGGGAGATTCTCTCATCATCGCCTAGAGATATGTCAGATAATAAAGGGTCATTAGATTGTCTCCCAATCTATTCATTCCTTTTTCCGAATGAAAAAAGCTCTAGCTTATATAACACTTATGACCGAAGTGAGGTAGAAGATAAATTGGTTATCAAAATTGACCAAGATGGCGATCATGCCCTGAAATTTTCTATTGCCAATGACATTTCTGAAGTATATGGTTTACTCGGGATTCATGAATGTATTAACGGTCAAAAACTTTTAAGAGCTGTGATCGATATCGATATGCTGAAAGGGGATATGAGAACAGCTGGTGTTAAGGGACACAAAGTATTCATCTGGATCTGTTGCTCTTTTATAAGAGCTTTGTATCGAATTCTTGATTGTAGCTGGAAAGATATTCTCAAAGGATTGGTAATTGCTACATCTTCAGATTCTAGCAAGTGTAGCTACCATATTTTATACGCACCGGCTCTTCTTATTGATCATCACGAACTCAAAGCATTTACTGAATTAGTATATGCCATAACCAGTGAAAAATTTAGCAAATACATTGATAGAGGATTGCCTGGTTAAAACTTTAACCTTCGCCTTATTAGTTCAGCAAAAAAAGGTCGTGTAAAGCGTATTCTTCAATTTTCACTAAATAATAAGTGGAATGAGCTTGATTATACTAGAGTTCAACCACCTACTAATTTAGGGCTTAAAGTAAAACCTCAAATGCTTAGTATAGAAAAATTAATAATCCGCTAAGAATATATGTGGGTCAGGATATATTACAGAAATTTGCAAATCTAGTTTTGCAAAAGTATTCTAACTATCTTAGTGATTGGACTATCAAAGAAAAGGACTCAAAAAACTTCGTATATTTTAACCGAAAAGCTTCACTAGGATGTCCACTCTGCAAACATATATATAACAAGGATCAGCAGTAGTTCGGCCATGTATGCGCTAGAAGTGGTGAATTCATTGTAAAATGTTTTCAGCAAAATAGTGATGAGCGCGGGGAAGTTTTTGAATGCGACCCATCTATTGCAGAAAAAATTCAGCAAGAAAATAAAAAATTTCTGCAATGTTTCTAAAGGGAACCCAAGGTTCTAGGCTTCCCTAAAGCCTTCGTAAATTTCCCATCTTGGGTCAAGTATAATGAGCCCTTTCAGCAACAGAAACATATGAGCAGAGATATGTAAGACCATTATCCAATGAAGGTGATATCTATGTAGGATCACCTTAGGAGACGGGAAAAACATATGTTCTAGAGCATCTTACTATATCTGATGACCTGAATTTGCTAGTATTATCCACACGTCACTCTTACTCAAATGCTATTACTACAAAACTCAATCTTAAATCATATTGTGATATCGATGGTAATATAAATCTACCTGATCATAAGAGGGTAGTATGCCAGATAGAAAGCTTACATCAGATTACTAATAATTATAAATGTAATAAAAAATGCAAATGTCTTCCAATCCAATATGACTTGTGGCTTGATGAAATAGTGTCTATAATTGCTTAAGCACAAAGTTATTTGGTGGGTCAATCGATTAAGAAGTTATATAAATTGATCCAAGAGGCTAGACGTATTATTGTGATGGATAATAATAACCTAACTGACCTCAACATTGAATGGATTAAGGCCTTTCGTAAGGATATACCTCTCTCTATTATCCACAATACTTACCAGCCTCAGAAAGATAAGATATTCCGCTTAGCCCCTAATAAAGAAACAGTATTAACTGAACATTGGGATTAGGCTAAGCATATGTTTTCATTACCTTTTGAGAATAGAACAAGTGTGTCACTTATTTGCTATCTTAGAAAAGATATGCAAGGAATTATTCGCGTCCTTAAGACTGATTTTTCAGAATTACAGATCAAGAAATACCACAGCAAGTCTAATCCAGTGAAAAAGGCTTATGACTTCAGCAATGTAGAAGAATCATGGAAAGATGTAGACCTAGTTGCTTATACTAGCACTCTAAAAATAGGAGTATCTTGCATTAATCC